CAAATAGCTATCTTCTTAACCATTTGACCTTGGTGACAATAAAATGCATTAAAAGAACTGCCAGCTTTCAATTCTACATTCAGTTAAAATATCCTTTGAGAATGGACATGAATTCTGGCAGATGTATTCATTTTAAGCTACAAGCCTGATTGGTGATGAATTAACATTGTAGTCTTGAAACTTGCAAGAGACTAAGCAGGTGCTGGCTTTCCTAATACTGAGAAGTCCTCTCCTCCAGGTGACGTCTCTGGGAAATGCTGGACATGAATACCTATGAAGTACATTTTAGGTGCTATCCACCAGTACATCATTTTGAAAGAAATGAGCCTAACGTTTATTATACCGTCGCTTCCTTAGAAAATATCAAAAACAAGCACCCAAATCTTGTAGAATATTCCCAATTTTTTTATTGTTGGTGATATACGAAACTATATTATCTGAGAATGCAAAGATGGTTTTGTGCAGTTTAGATATCAAACAAATTTACATATTAAGGGCATTCGATTTAAGGTAGATTGTGTGACTTGCCTAAAATCACACCAACAGTAGTACTAGGACAATATATTATAGGTCTTCTGATTCCTAATCCCATTACATCCTGCCATACCATGATGTTAGTATGTCAGGACAACTACACATAGTGGAGTCCTGGTAGCAATGTCCAGTAAATTGGCAGCTAATTACAAGGTTGGCATTTCAAACCCACCTGGGAGAAAGATGGAGCTCTGGGAAAAAAGATGATGCTGTCTGCGTCTGTAAATATTTAGCACCTCAGTAACCCAATCTGCCCAGGTTGACTATCGGCTGGATGAAGTCAACTGGGTGGCACTGAGTTTCTCGGCCTGCTTAGCTTACATCGAGTATCTGTGGACTTCCTCTGAACTATTATGAGTTAGGCAATTAGCAATCTGCTACCAGTTCAAATGTGCCATTTCCAATCCAGAATAGTAAAAGAAACATTAGCTCAGAATCAAGGAGTTTAGCAATTGAGTTGGGACTCTTAGAGAATACCACTAACTTTGGGCCTCTTTACTCCAGGAGCCGTTCCCAGTAGTATGTGCTACAAAAATACTACAGAAAGAGAAACTCGTAGCCCAGAAACCAAAACCGAGCTCACCGCCGAGGAGTCCGTGCTGACTGACAGAGACCCCTGTGGGTTTCTGAGAGAGATGAGGAACTGTGTGTGGGACTAGAAAGCCCACTGTTTCTACCACAGAACTGCCTAGAAGAGGTTTACAATTCATTCAGATACATAAATCTGATTATCTTTCAATCTTATTTACTCTTTCTCACCTTATCCATTTCCATGAAAGGCAGACATAAGAAAACATCCCACAGATAAAGTTGAACAAAGTTGTTCTTAATATTCACCATCAATTCATGGTCTTTAGTGATGTTGTCTAGAAATCAGAACAATCTAGCCGGCCAGGTTGACAAGACAGTCAACCAGCAAACACGCGCTTCTGCTATTCCACCGTGGTGGCATAAGGTGGTCCAAGGAATGGAGAACTATAATCATAGAGAGATAATGGTTTGATAATTTGCATGAATCTTATACTTTACACACTTACCTACATATATTTCTATTGGGTTAAGCTACATAGATTTCTGATTGGACCTTTTAAATATACACATGAAGTATAGCTTTAAAAATACTAGATGGTTATAAGTTCTAAGTAAATTCTGTAACCAGTAGAAAATTTATAAAAATTAAGCTCAACTATATTCTCCCTGCACCCGCTCCCTATTCTCATAGCCGCAGGCCAGTCTGGCCAGGAGTTGAACGCCCCTGGGGCTCTAGGCAAAAGCAGGTTGCACAGCTGTTTGACTCACTGTATTTGACTCCTTGTCATTTGGCTGATTAAGATTTCAGCTGACAATGCCATTTGGCATTGCTTGGAATTTTTTCCCCCTAGAATTATATTTTTTTAATATGGGATTTGAAGTACAGCAAGGGAGTGGTATAGATTCATCGACTCAAAGAGCAACAATAACAAAAAAACAACTCATGCCTTTGACTCAATTCTGACTCAAAGTGACCCTTCAGAGCAGAGTAAGATTGTCCCCTCTGGGATTCTGATGCTTCTGGCCTGGTAGTTAGCAAGTGCAATGAGTAACATGCTACTGAGCAGGGTTCTGTCAACTGCACACCAACGGTGTCCTAAAGCAATCGGATAGAATTATGCCCAAACCCTGACATTTTCTCCACCTCGTTCAAGGAGCTAGCCCACAATGATCTGGGGAGGTGATATTTGTGCATGCAAGGTTTCTGAAAATATTGACAAAAAGCTGGCTGTGGTTTCAGATACGGGAACTAGTGAGGAGAGAGGGTCAGGTGAGTCTCAAGAGAGACAGGTAGGATGAAAGGAGCTAGATAGAGGGGTACACTGACAGCAGGACAGTTATAGAATTAAAGTCAAGAGTTATTACAGAATCCAGAAGAGTCACTCCTTCAAGGTTTGGGTGTCTGAGAGAATTAAAACAATAACAAAAACAATAGCCACAGCCATAACAAAATACACCAAATTCTCTATATGTGCGGCAGTTATGTTCTGTAAATTCACAATGTACTCTGAATCAGTGAACACAGCATCATTGCTCTTTAAGTAGACACAGGGATAGGCTCCTATGAGCCTCTGGTCACCACATTTTCATCAACCGATCAGAACAGTGCCTTGCTTGCTACCTGTTTCTGTTTAAATGCATCTTATATAAAATTTAATTCTTGCAAATAATTATACACCCCATTCCTTTATAATAAAACATTGAGTAAGAAGGTTTTATAATACCTTTCAACCCAAGTGACCATAACTGTTGTGGCTTTCAGCCCCATAGCAAGGCTGTCTACTATCCTATTTAATCTGTCGATTTTCTCATGAATCCACGTTCATCCACGTTCTCTTCTTTTTCCTAGCTTCGTCACACGCATAAGATATTATATTATCATTTTTTCCCAAGCACCCTCACAAACAGGTCAGTGAATTTCCTCGTCATTTTTCTGGAGATGCAGTATTGTTGATTTGTTAACATTAAGATCATTGCTAAGAGCACTGTAACTGATCTGACACATAGTTTCTCCATGAGGTACATCATACCTTCTGGAAGTTAGAGGCACTAAGCAGCAGTTCAACACTATGCTTGGGGGGTCCTTTAAAATAATAAAATCTCTAAAGAAAAGCACAGAAATGTGAAAACGCGGCTTTGAATAAACCACACCGAGAGAGTGACCCCAGCGGGGAAAGTGAAAGTTGGGTACTTCGAAATGTTCGCTGTCCTGTACCTGCCCACATATGACTGTGAAATGACTGTGAGCATTTCCTTGGGGAGAACAAATACATTTTGGCAAGTGGGCAATTTCACAAACACAGAATCTGAAAATAATTCGGACTGACGGCAGTCAATATTTACGACGCACTCCGTGTGTGCTGCTACTTACTGTTAGATGCCGCTGCGTCAATCCCACTTTACAGCGACCCCATGTCTAACAGAACGAAACCCTGCCTGCTTCTGTGCCATCTTCAGAACTGCTTGAGCCCAGCGATGCAGCCATGCGTCAAACCTTCCCGCAGAAGGTCTTATTCACTGCCCCAGTGCTTCACTAAGTAAAATGTCCTTCTCGAGGGACTAGTCTATTTGGACTAGTCTAGTCTATAGGTCCTAAGTGCTGTATGCTAGCACTGGTCTAATCTTTTAAAACATGATAATTCATTCAATCTTCTTTTCAATCAGGAATAACTATTGAGATAATAACTATTGTTACTGTTTTGATCTAACAAATTGGCATTCTGTGATGCTCATCCCACCCAGCCCTAACATGATCACTGAAGACAAAATGGGTGCATAAGCAGATGTGGTGAAGGCAGAGAATGGTGCCTGGCAATTAAAAGATACAGTGTCTGGGGTCTTAAAGGCTTGAAATTAAACAAGTGGCCATCCAACCGTGAAGCAACAGCCCACGTGAAAGAAGCACACCAGCCAGTGCGACCGTGAGGTGTCATCGAGACTGGGTAACAGACATCAGAAGATTCACAACAAACAGTAAACAAACAAACAAAAATGCATTGGTGAGAATGGAGGGGGGCTGGAGCAGAGAGCCAAAGCCCATCTAGGGACAATGGAGCACCCCCCCCACAGAGGGGCCACAGAGAGGGGGTGAGTCAATCAGGGTGCAGTAGAGGACTAATGGGTCACACCATATACCTCTGTTTTCTGGAGGCCTCCTCACCACACCCACATCCACCCTCCACTCTGCTGTCACGTCCTCAGTTCCGCCTCCCCATCTAGACTAGATGGGAGCATGTACATAGGTATCGACAAGAGATAAAACTCACAACACATGGAACCCAGCAACAGGAATGGGAATAAAGATACCAAAAGGGTAGGGACAAAGGGGGTAGAAGTGCAGAGGAGGGGGTCACCCATCACAATGAAGGGCACAAAACCACACACCCCCAGTCAGGGGGAAGAACAACAGCAACGAGAGGGGAAGGGAGACAGTGGTGTGAGATTTGAAAATAACAGTCTACAATCTATCAGATTGTTCCAAAACTCATGGATCCCCTTGAGATAACTTGTAAAGGCAGCCTTCTCTGTGTAGTATATTTCTTTACACATTTTATTCTTTGAGCTACAAAGTCAGTCCAGAATATTTATGGATCTAAGGCTTTGGCTTCTTTTAAGGCCTCCCATCATTTTCTAATTATTAGCCATTTCAATGGTCAGGAAATGGTCCTTCTATATAAAATTAATCATTGACTTTCTGTTGTAAACCGATTTCAACTTCTCTGATATTTATTGGAAATAGGAGGCACATGCTTGATGAAGGTAATTAAAATTCAAATCACCTTAGGTTTTTCTTTTTTATTTAAAAACTCTTTTAAATGTACTTCTGCTAACTCCTGCTTTAAAGTCTCGTTGACATTAACTACTGATCTCGGCAGGTCTCTCTGACAGGTCAATTTTCCCATCTTAAATGTACTCAGTGAATGTTCTTATCTTACCTCTCCATTTTCTAAGGGGTGGATCTTGGAATAAAAGGAAGTGCAGATGACCTCGTCGTCTTTGGCGTATGACGGTGGCCCGGTGCGGGGATAAATGTTGTAGAGGGTTAGGCACTCAGTATCCGTCACAGCGTGATACTGCCATGGCTTGTAGGTGACATCATCAAGAGAGCGCTCCAAGATCCAGTTCCCAGGCCGGGGGGAGTTCGCCGCTTTCACAATCACGTAGGCAATCTGGAACACCTGGAAGAAAGGGCGCGACAACATCACGTTTCATTCCAGGCTTCTCCCCATTTTACATCCGTTATAAGGCTTCATCTTGCAATGTATTTTATTTCAGACTTTAGTCTCTAATCTTATTATGATTACTGTATATCAAATGAGTTTCAGCTTACATGCTCCTATGTTAAAAAGTCTGATTAAGACAAGCTGTTTCAGAATGACAGCATGAAATAGGTAAAGATTGGACTTTGATTCTCTAATAATTCTTTGTTATCATCGTTCCTAACTTTTAAAGTTCTATAGTCCTGCTCTCCTAAAATACTGATTCCATCTCAATGTACTTACCCTAGTCTGTGAGAGATAGAATATGGGATAGAAATTCTATCGGCGAATAGTGCTTCCTAGTTTGAAAGTCAAGTTTACTTATATGACTTAATCATTATAAAAAGTATCCCCTTTGGTGGATTCAGGGTGGTACATGGAACTTTGGAGAAATAGCCATAGATTTACATCATGGTTCAAAGATTTATGGGACCCTGGGCAGATTATTTCCACCATTATATAGCAGATTATTTGTTTGTTTGTTTTCATCTCTAACCTTCATTTAATGAAAAAGGAGGTCAAGGATTACACAACTGAGAGTTTGGGTTACATGAGATAATGTACACAGAACATTTGACTCTGGCCTTGGCATAGATGCTCAATAAATAGCAACCCTTCCATATCTCAAAGTAGAAAGTAGTAAAGAAAAATAATTAGGATCACAGGCAGACAACTAATGGAAACTAGAACATATTAAATGAAGACTCTCTATTGGAGCCAGCCAGACACAAGGTAGATGTGGAGAAAGGAAGGGAAAATTACAATAGGGAATCATGTTATAAGCCTGCAGAGTCACATATGAGAGAAATATAATTTGAAGACATTAAAAGAATATTTGGGATACTGTGTGATACAGCCATTGGCTTTACTCATGGAGGTCCGAAATCCATCAATGACTGAAAAGAATGCAGAGACATGGTGATGTGACATTCGTGGTTTGTTTTTTTAAAAAAATATACAAACTAGTCTCAATTATCCCTCACTTCCAATGGTTAATAGTGTGCTGGAATAATGAACATGAGTGTAGACTAATCAAGCAACTATAAAGAATTCCTGGTTGTGTGGAGACAGTTATGGGACACTACTGAGAGTGCAGGTTCACTGTGATGTGATCACAGAGCCTACTGACCACAGGAAAAAATGATGAAGGGAGGTGCCAGAAGTAAATTGTACTGTCTTCATACTTTTGACATGAGATAGTCACACAGATATGAATAGTCATCAAACACCCTGGTAAAATTCCACTCTGGCACACATGGGGTAACCAAGAGGCACAATCTATCAAAAGTGGCTCGAACAATACTAATATGTTTGTTAAACTCTAAGGGATTTAAAAATATGAAAATTTGGCATGTAAGAAGCTTAACGGATGATTCTGATGCTGGTCTTTCTGGCACACTTCCATGCAGAAAGTGGAAAATCATTAGCCAAATGATTGAAAATAGGGCTGGTCTTTAGAGTGGAAGATATAGACAGAAGAAATAGTAATTTAAATATAGAAGTATTTTGTACCTGCTGGTATATCTCTGTTTGCCCAAATGCCTCCTTTTCCTGAGACCATGTGGTTAACTTCAATATAGTAAGGAACAGCTAAGATATCTGTTCTGATTGGTCTAGGCTTTGATCATTCTATGTCATTAATATCACGCCTGATGGTCAATATTAATTAATTGTTCAGCTAGCAAAAGTAGCATGAATCGTACTGTAACCTGCATGTTTCCACGTTCCTGTTAGCTTAACACAGGTCTTTTCTGTTTGTTAGAGTTTGAATCCCAGTGAACACATTTCCAACTTTCATTAATAGTCACTTGAAAGAGATAAGGAATACATTGGTTGGGTGCATACTCTGTAATGTCTTTAGAGGCAGAGAAATTTACTTAAACTCTTTTACTTTCTGCTTCCTAGTCTTTCTTTTTCCATGGTCAGCATCATATAAGAGACAATGAGATAATGTAAACTCACTTCTAACTTATGATTAGGTAACAAAGACCACCTCATTATGAAAAAATTGGTGTCATATGAAATGGAACATGACCTCATCAGATCACAAAATAGAGAAATAACCACATCATTACATACTTGCTAAATTGCATCATTACATAACTGCCAGACCACAGAGACGCAAGGCCCAGCCAAGTTGGCATATAACCCAAACCATCATAACCAGCTTTATTCTGATCTTGCAGCTTAGCATTTATTACTAATGCCATTAATGCTCAAAAGAGTTGGATAGTGATGTTTTTACTACTGTCATAAATCCAAAACGTGACTAATGGGATAACAATAAATATTAAACATTTTATAATGTATAAGGAATCCAAATCCAAACCCCAAACCAAACCCATTCACACAAGTCAATTCCAACTCATAGAGGTCCTATAGGGTAGGGGAAAGCACCCCCTATGGCTTATAAGACTGTAAGTTGTTACAAAATTAAATAGCCACAGCTTCCTCCAATAGAACAGTTGAGCGTTAAACCACTGACCTTGTGGTTAGCAACTTTCACTACTATGTCATTAGTGCAATTTAAAAATTCATATAAATATTTTAAATTAGCATCATTCCTCCCAGGTAAAAGACAATAAAAATTGAATTGAAAATCACAAGTACCCAATAAGAAAGAGTAAGATATATTGAGACTATGGGTAAAGAACTTTGCTTAGGAAGTAGCTCAGCAAGCAAATACAGAAAGAGGCCACTGCTCTTGCAGCTACAGTGTAGATTTATGACATAGAAGCTCCTGTGTTGGTCCTGAAATAATACATAAAATCCATAGGGGGAAAATACATACGAAAAGCTATATAAACTCGTCCTATAACTCCATATAATATTCACTGTTAAGATACATAGCAAGTCAGTCATGGTCTTGAAGAATCTTAGAGAAATTTCTTTTCAAACAGTATCCCCTTTTTCATTTATCTTCTATGAATTATTTTATAAAGTAGGCAAAATTAATTAAATTGCTTGGCTAGAAGTATTTTGAAAAGACTTAAAAAATGCAATAAAAAGCATGATCAGAAAATGGAAGGCTTCAGAACATGATGGTGAAATGTTAACAATTATTTTTTCAGTGCTCCAAAAATGTAATGGCCCTAGTGGGGAAATGGAGAAAGTATCTACGCTATTTTTATTAACTATGGCTTGTGTTTCCAGCAGAAAGACTTTCTAAAGGCCATAATTTCAAAATTATATTTCCAGATGAATAACAACAAAGAAAAGAAGTATGAAAATACTGCCTGCTAGGCTTCAATGAACCTAAGATATTTGGGAGGATACCTTTTTTTATAAATTTGCTGCCCAAATTAACAAACACACAAAATTCTACACTATTATACTAGCAACATGCACTGTTTTACATGGTACTGTAACAAAGGATGTTTTACAATTTCATACTGCAATGTCACACATTTGCATGTCATCTGAGAATATTATTTAGTTGATTTCCTGATGCAATATTAAATTAGATGTCCCTGATCTAAGCAGAATCTCAAGAACTTGATCTCATTTTTGTTGGAACTAGAATACAAGGCTTTTCTGAGGGATACTTCATTCCCAAACTAACAAACAATATGCATTGACTATCAACTCAAGCTGTACTCGCCAACCTTCTTCACTTAATCCAAAACCCACCGTAACAGAGTTGATTCCAAATCATAGTGACCCCGTAGACTAGAATTGCCCTGCTTTGGGTTCCTGAAACTGTTTAACTTTATGGGAACAGAGAGCCTCATCTTTTTCCCATGGAGTAGCTGATGGTTTTGAACTGCTGATGTTGTGATTAGCAGACCCACAGGTAACCCACTATGCTACGAGGCCTCCTTTATTCATTTTATGAACAGTAAAAGATTACATTTCTACAGCATTTAGGTAAAATGAAAAGTCTGCATGAGCTTAAGTGACAAAACTCAGAGCTTCGACCACTCCAGACATGGCTCTGGGGCTGAGTATCTTTGCTTACCTGTACCACCTGCAGTAAATCTGACATCCAAAAGAGATTTTTAGGACACAATTTGCTAGGTCTGGATTTTTATTTTTTATTATTTTTAAAAATTATTTTTCAAAGCTGAGAGTGCACAGAACTTTTTCAAATATTCTCCATTCTACCTGATGGCCTCTTGCTCTCTTCTTACATTTTAAGCTTCTCTTTATTTCTTTAAAACCTATTTGATGTGTATATTTTATACTCTGCATCTGATTGTAATCATCACTGAAAACTTTTAATTCTGATATTGCTATCCCTGTTCCTGATGATTGCCAGTTTTTGTTGGCTCTTGTGTTTTTCATCTTGGGGCTATGGTCTTGGTCATTGCCTCAGATGAGTAAACTCACTAGGGGAATTGTTTAAGTCTAGACTATAATTGGATAACCCCAAACTATATTTACATAGTTTAGCCTATCATCAAATTACTAATCCAAGACTATTCTACTTCACTTTAGGATTTGCTAATGGAAATGTAAGGGTTCTTGAGGCTTGTAAACCATCATTACAGGGCAAGATATGACAAAATAACCATTTATAAACTATCAAGGGCTCATGAGGGAGGGGGGGAGCGGGGAGGGAGGGGAAAAATGAGGACCTAATGCCGGGGGCTTAAGTGGAGAGGAAATGTTTTGAGAATGATGAGGGCAATGAATGTACAAATGTGCTTAACACAATTGATGTGAGTATGGATTGTGATAAGAGTGGTATGAGCCCCTAATAAAATGATTTTTTAAAAAACGGTTAAAATCAAACCCCAGATCCATTGACTTCTAATGGATTCTGACTCATAGCAACTTTATATGAAACAGCAGAATTGTCCCATAAGAGTTTCCCAGGCTTCACATCTGCATGGAGAAGACTATCACATTGTAATCCTGCAGGGTGGCTGGTGGGCTTGAATGAATGACATTTGGGTTACCAGATGAACACTGAAGTA